TGATTGGCATTTCGCGTAAACAAAAAAAAATATAAAATGTACGTATTTACAAATACGACACCTACAACGGGAGGAAAGGGTGGTTAGGGGGAAGGGGGTACTTTAGAAATTTTTTTAAAAAAATTTTATTTTATTTTTTGTTTTACCACACTCATCCATAACCAAAGGATTAATTGTCTTATAAAATTATATTTCCAATGTATAAATATGCCCAAAAATATTAACTAAAAAAAATACAAATGCTTAATTAATAATTGCATACGGCATTAGTGTTATTAAACGGCTCGTTTTGAGCCGATTTTTTAAAACGGCTAACTCAATATTTTAGCCAGAAAAATTATGCAAGCCTCGAGATTTCGTTTATATATGTCTAGACCTTTGTTGCTTCTAAGAGCAAAATCTTCAGGCTTGCATAATAACTTTCAGGATGGAATAATGAGTTAGCCGTTTTTAAAAAAGGAGACGTTTAACAACACTATATGGCATAATATAAGAGATGATAAATGGGCAGACCATAATAGAAAAAGATATGATGCGACAATTTTAACAATATAAAGAAAAGCTTTTAAATAGTAGCTTTTAAAGATATTATTAAACTAATTGCAGATTAAGAACCTGTCCTCAAATTGTATATTCAAAAAATGGGAGATAAAACAAAAGGGATTATAATCTAAATTATATTCTGATCTATTCTCGTATAATAATATTATTATCATTGAAACCATGAAATATGGTTATAAATAAAATTAAAAAAGAGACTAAATTTAACAAGTGTTTTCAATTATAGTTGATATGGTACATATGATGCTTCGAAATCATAAGCAATAGCTTTGTTATATTATATATTGAAAATGATAGCACGACTGGTCTAGATATTAAAAAAATATAACATGCAAACATAATTCCATGAATCTACCCCTCGATTTTTTTAGGCAAAGCTATGATGGTGCTTTAAGCATGAGTGAAAGGATCATAGGAGTACAGGTTTTGATTAGAGCTAAAATCTCAAAGGCAGCTTTTATTTGATGCTATTATCGATTAAACCTAATCATTGTTCAATTATGCCAATTGATAAAAGAACTAAGAAATGTTATAAGGATCTTAGACGGGATCCGCGTGTATTTCAATGGTGCTAAAAAGATATATAGTGCTCAAATCATGTCATAGTGATGTACTGACAAAATAGCAACGATTTTTATGCATCAGGAATACCACTCGGTAATATTATCTTATTTGTTTAGATTTAAGATGTTTATTTTATATTTATAGAAGCTATCCATCATATAAGGTTATTGTAAAATAAATTTCTACTTTATAATACTTTGAGGGCAGTTTCAAAGGATTCTGAAGATTCTGCCACTTCTACCATGGCTAGTGCTATTGTTTTTAGAATAGAAAAAATTTATTTTATCAGTTTGTGTGTTAACAAGATTGGCTTGAACAAAATTCCAAACCATTTCGAAGGATATAGGGTTGCAATAAATCAAATTCAATTGGCAAAGGATTGCCTGTCTAATTTGAGAAGTATAATTTAAATGATTGTATTGTATTATTTTTTAATCTAATAGATAAAACACTGAATCGGTGAATGTTTTTTCAAAGGCACAAGATTTTATGAAGGGGAGAAATTGCCTTTTGATTTTGAAAGATCTAGACTTCAAACATTACAATCCAAAAAGGAAAAGTGTATATACTTTCATTATTAAATATAATATTTTATTAAAACCAGTTTATGTAGCACGTTTTGGCATTTTGCAGTTTAATGAAATATTCAATTACGAATTTTTAAATCAAACATCAATTTTTACATCAAAGGGAATGTCGGAAAAGACATTCGTTAATGTAACATTGAAGATTCTGTGAATTTTACCATTTAAATTCAAGTCAAGTTTTTGAAAAAATGTCTAAGTTTCAAATTATTTAAATTATGGTTAAAACGAGGGATGTAATTATTACATATGACCTAGAGGTTAGAGAATCTAAAGATTTGTCGGATTCTGGGAATTGTAAATTTCTTTTATTAAAATATTTATATTAATATATTATTTAGCTTCTTCCTCTTATGATGATGATTCTGAAACTTATGATTCAAATTAGAAAAATTATTCGTTATTTTACCTTATCATTTACTTCTGCTTTCCTTAATTTATCAATTTTTTTTTGCATAATTTTTATTTATTTATGGGATCTTCCATTAATTATAGTATTATCACCAAGAAAAATTTTATATGCTAAGTTTTATGTACCAAAAATTTTGTAGAAAAAATTATTTTAAAATATCTTAAATATAAGTTGTTTAATAATATATTTAAATGAGTAAATAGTATTTTTAAAATATTACAAAATGTAAATTGTATATAATTAGTATAATAAATTATGTTGGGAGGGAGGAGGTCAAAAAAGAAAGCCGTGGATGGCGATACAATTAGATCTGCAAAATTAATAGATACACGATGACGAAGATAGAAGCCTTCCTGTGGGTCACCAGTGATGGCGCGAATTTTTTTATAAAGGGATTTGAAGAAGGTTAGGGCATGATTCCCAAAAAACTGGTTATGTCGGATACAATTGGTATGAGATTGCAATTGGTTAGGGAAATATATTTGTTAATTTTAGAGTTTTCCGCTCCCACGAATGAGTTGTTATTAAACGAGGGAGCCAATCGGTCGATGCAAGTGTAATCCCATGCTAAAGGAGTTCCATTACTCCAAGGTATTAAGGTCAGCCCTTCTGGCCGGATACCATTTTCAGAGAGGCCACAGAGTTCGAGGGTTGCGGGTATTTGAGCTGAGCGTAGAGCGCGGAGAATGGTGCCGTTAACTGCACTGTGCCGAGACTGTCTACTTTTAGAGAATCGACAATGAAGAGGGTGATGTCCGAAACAATCAACGAGGTGGGAACATAAATTGCATGCAGAGTTGGCCAGTATTTTACAACCGAGAAGGGACCTATTGCAATGCTTAATTCTTCGTTTGTTAGGAGGAGTCCTAAGTTTGAGCTGGGCAAAGCTTCTAACCATTCGTAACCCGATAAGGAAGGTAAAGTTTGTGGAACTTGCAGTTGTTGTGGGAAAGAGAGATGATCAACAGTTAATTCATCAACTAAAATGGGTGATAATAAATGTGAAAGAATTGATGGGGATCCCTTAGACGCCGCACTAGATATTAGATATTCAACGGAGTGACGTATTAAGGAGTTATGTTGCTTTTGTGATGTGGGGATTGGAGCAGAAAGGGAATTCTCTTTCCAGATTGTTAGGGCGTGGGGGGAGGTGGGGGTCGGTGGAGTTATTGTTAAGTGATAGAATAATTTAGCGGCAGCTTGACTATGAGGCTATAAAGGCAGCAAGGCTGAGTGGCGCAGGTGATCTTAGACCAAGACCCCCAAATTTCGAAGGCAAGGAGGCCTGCATCCAAGAATTAGGGCTGAATTTTATATTGAGTAGAAGAGCGGAAGGCATGTTAGATTTTGGGAATAAAGAAAAAGTTTTTGAGAAGGAAGAAAGATTGATAGGAAGGAAGGACAGGACTTTGAGGATTTTATGCAAAAGGTGGAAATTACGGAGTAATTTTGTTTTGAAATATTCGATTGCTTTATTGCTTCCTATTGGGGATCCAAGATGTGTGAACACGGATAGATTAATGGGTGTGAAGTTATGAAGAGCGGTAAAGAATTCATCTGGTGAATAAAATTCGCATTTGTTGTTATTAAGAGACAACCCTGTAATATTGGTTAGATTATTTATTATGGGGGCTATTTTTAGAAGTTCATCATGTGGACCAGCAAGGGTTCCATCATCCAAATACCAAAAACATTGAGGGTCAAATTTGTCTCGCGATTTATCATTTCAATGATCGACTGGATACCTGGGCGGGTTCAAGGGGATCACCCTGTTGAATGCCTTGCCTTGATTCAATTATTGTGTTGTTGAATTTAAGGTAAGATGATTTGTTATAAGAGGCAAAAAGGTAGTGAGAATATTCTGGAAAAAATGAGTTTTTTGTGAAGCGAAGTTGGATACGCGTGGCATGGGAGGCCACTTCACAACCGGAAAGTATGTTGAAGCCAAGCTGATGGGGAATCAATCGCTCGATGAGCTTGTTTTTAATGCGATTACAAATATTTTTGGATATAATTCGACGGAAAATAATTTATTAACTATTTGTACTACCTTATATACTGCCATATGGGTGTCAAAAATAATTCATTTTTTTCGGGGGGAGGGGGGAGGGTCCTTTTTATGGGGATATTCTGCTTTCATCGCTCACAAAGTATAGGGGCCACGGCTGGTCAAATAATTGCCAAAATAAATGTGATAAAATGTATATTATTTGATTGACATATAATAATCAAAAATTTAGCATTTTTAGGATACGTGCTACCTTAAGGACAAATATCTTAGATATTATAAAAATAAATAAATGAGCTTTAAATCGTCAAAAAAATTATATATTTTAAAAAATATATAAGAGAATTTCATACACATTTACGAATATAATATAATCGGTCAAAAATTAAGCCATGTGAAAATATTGTGTCCTATTTTGTAAGGACTCCATGCAAAAATATGTATCGAATAAATTTATAAGAGTCATCTAGGACAAGAGATCGGTTTATCAATCTTTTAATGAGATCAATACTTCTATTGATTAATATTTAATTTTATCTTTGTTTCCTATCTAAGAATTATTAGTAAATAATGAAATATTGTTTTCATCAAAATATTTTATTAACTTGAGCAACTGTTATTTCGTGTCCACTATATGCAGCCATTGTGATCTTATAAAATATCTTTTGTACATTAGCCTTATATTTATTTTTTTTTAACCAAAATTATTATATTAAATTAACTCAGATATTTAATTTCATTGTCAAAAAAAATCAAATTTATTACAATTGAAAAATTTATCTTTTGAGTTATTCAAAAAGTACGTTTTCGTTTTGTTTATTATCTAAAAAAACCTTTAAAAAATAAATTAATAAGAAACTTAATAAGTACACTATCTTTATAAAAATAATGAAATAAATTATATATTTTTTTTCAAATGATGAAACTTTTAATTTCACTTTCAATGTCTTTTATTTTAATTTAAAATAAATAATTTCTTCTCTTCATTTAAATCCAAAATTCCGGTTAATTCTAAGTCAAGGTATATATGAATATATATTTTAATATAATCATAAGTGGCGTGCAGGATTTTCTCTATGGGGGAAGGGGGGGGGGGGTGTTAATAAATTGTTTTGTTTATATCTTAGGCTATGTTTTTAAATATTAACATATAACAAAATTTTAGAGAGTATTTCATTATAGATTTTATTTATTATATAAAAATACTTGCATAAATTTTTTTTTCCGGTCATGGGTTACTTTATTTGAATATTTACTGATATGATATGTTGTCAAAATGTAATATCAAATAATTAATTTTTTAAAAAGGTAAAATAAATAAAGGTGAAAAATGTAAAAATAGAATTTACGGGAAGGGATAGGGGAACATTCATATGTATTTATTTTTATTATTTAAAATAAATTTCAAAATGTAGATATTTTATACAGATTTTTTTTCCGGTCATGGGTTACCTTTTAATATTTACTGATGGATTATAATATTAAAAATTATATTGTATAAAAACTCTATTTAAATATGAAATTTAATAATTACATAAAATATTAGTAATTCTTATGCAAATAATGATATTCTGAATCTTTTTCCTTGCTTGATATATAAAATTCCAGTGCTACAAATACAACATCATATTATTTTAAAAAAATATAAAAATAATCAAATACTGATCAATTAATATTTATAATAAATTAAAAACATAAAAATAGTTTTTTTTAAATTGCAAGCATTTATTATCAATTTAGTAAATGAAAATAAAAAAATGGGATTCAGTGTATCTTTAAATTTAGACTTACATTTAAAAGCATCGGTTCTCGCATGCTTATATGATGATTATTATTTATAACCCAATATTTTTTGTAAATTAAATATTACGATTACGAACCCCCTTAATTGGGGTATACCGTCTTTACAGAGAATCTTTTATAGAGAATGCAAATATAGAGAAACTTTTATAGAGAAAACAATTGTAGAGAATGTCGTTTATAAAGAATATAGTTTATAGAGAATGATTTTATAGAGAATTTATTTTATAGAGAAACTTAGAGAATGTCGTTTATAGAGAATGATTTTATATAGAATGTCGTTTATAGAGAATGATTTTATAGAGAATATTTTACAGAGAATTGTTTTACAGAGAATTATTTTATAGAGAATATTTTACAGAGAATTGTTTTAGAGAGAATTATTTTATAGAGAAGGATTTTATAGAAAATGAATTAAGTATTATTTTAGAAATAAATTTTCTCAAAAAAACAAGCCAGATGCCGTCATATAAATTCTCGGAACCCTGAATAAAAAAAGGGAAAAAATACTCTTAAAAAAAATTATTCACGTTCCTGATTTGTATTGCTTATGAATAATTATAATAATATTTTTGAGTTTCCTGTTGTTATTTTTTTTAAAATACGCTGAACAATTAGAAGTAGTAATGCTAAAATTATGAAAATGTTTCCTTCTTTATCAGTTTCCATTAGTGCTTTGTTTTAATTAGTAGAGTAGCCATTTAAAAAAAAACTATTAGCAACAAAGCCAGCCTTACGCCAATTGTTTTAGAAAATTTTGTAAATATTTAGTTGCTTTGTGCATTATTTTAATCTGCTTGGCCCGGCCCCGATTTTTTAAAAATATATTATCTATTTTTAATTTGCCTAGATAATAATGGTGATTTAAAATATTTGGTTTTAAAATATTATGGCCCGGCCCGATTTTTTAAAAAAAGAAGCTTTTTTTGACCCGGCCCGTGTATTTAAAAAAATAAAATTTTAGGCTCGGCCCGGGTATATTTAAAAAAATTTAAATACGGCCCGGGTTTAAAGTCGGGCCTGTAGGTCTCTGATTTATAGTGCGCTTTTATAATTTCCCTAATAAATCTGATTTTACCAATTCCGAAGAGAATCTACCCTGGGAATTTCATACGATTGCGCCAAAATTTTTTTGTATTTAATAATTTTATTTAGTTCTATTTTTTCATTTTTTATCATAAATTGAGCGCGTTTTATTAAATTTTAAATCTGATTTTACCGAAAATGCATTATAATATGTGTAGAATACCCACCCTATAAATTTCAGAAGATCTTATATTGAACCTCTGAAGAAATTTTAATTTACATTAATCTGAAATTTATAAGTAGTGTTAGTAGCCTAAAAATCAGCTAAACATAATTTGGCTTAACCGAAAAATCGCCTAAAACTAATTAGACAAAATGTAGGGACTGGGAGCTAGGCTAATCGCCCGTCAGCGTTACGCAACACTAAGCCTAGCCTTTATTAAAATTATTTAATATATTTATTATGTAACGATATATGACGGGCGATTAACCGAGCTCCTTAGCCGATGCCTAATTTTCGAATAATTAGTTTTCGCCTATTTTTATGCTGCCTAATTATGCTTAGCCGATTTTTTAACCTAAAAACTTGGCTAAACGTTTTGGAATTGCCTAAAATTAACCGATTGCGCAACATTAAAGGTGGGTATTCTACACTTATTAAGGTGCATTTCTGGCAAAATCAGATTTTTAAATTTAATAAAACGCACTCAATTAATGATTTTAAATGCAAATAATAACAAAAAATAAAACAATACCCATCAAACTATCGCCTTACCAAAATTAAGTTTAGTTGAAAGATCACTAGAGTACTGTCTAATATTCACAGGATAGGAAGGGAAGATCAGGGGGTGGTTGGATCAATTTCTGTCAAAATCGTCATAGGTCCGAAAATAATTGTATCTGAATTTACAAAATACAAAATGATAGTTCAAACCCTTACCTAAAATTTATACATTGACAAAATTTAAAATAACACACTTTTTTCTCTAAATTGATTTTATAAATGAAAATTTCTTATTACAAGCCTAAACTCCTTAGCAGTGTAGAGAAAGATGAATCAAAAAGTTTATGTTTTTTATAGGTTGTTAAACATTCCGAAAATCAGACTTTTAATATTTATAAGAAATTTCTTATTTACATATAGGGATTATATTTATTGATACCAATTTGTTTAAATATGGTTGGTTCACAGACAAACTTGTATTTCATCATATGATTATAAGAAGCTTTGTATCATGATATACACTGATTTCCATCGCATTGTAATGTCTTATTTTAGAAAATATCGAAGCTTGATATTTGCAGCAGATTGCACAATATTTTACTAACTCTTTTACACTTAGAAGATATTTCAAATACCTAATTATCAAAAGATTTTGCATCATATATTATAATACTACCCCCTTCTTCCCCCACTCCCCTCATTTCCTATACCACATCAAAATTAGAACAACGGAATTCCAAATACAAACTACCCATTTTAATTTCAATGCCAATCTTGAGTTATAACCCCTCCCTATGGTAAAAGGTCTTGTTTAACATTGTTTGAATGGTTAAGCGTCTTTTTATAATTGGTAGTCGGTCTATAAATCTAGTTATAAGCAAGTATAATTATCATTAATATTTAAATTTCTTCTTATCGTTGGGGCTAATTATTTATTCAAACTTTTCTGTTGGAGGGGGGAAGGGGGGGGGTGTTTCTTAATAAAAAAATTTTCATGATTAAAACAATATTTTTATTTTCCAGCATAACATTTGGATTTTCATTATCTACGCTTCCTGCGACAGATATCTTACTTTTCTTATCTATTTTTTATAGGGCCTTGCTTTCTACTGTAAAAAGTGGAATCATAAATGATAAGTTCGCTTCAGCTTGTTTAATTAATTATAATATCCGTCAATGCTTGCCTTTAAAACTTTTATTTTAAATCTTTCTAAACCTCTTTTAGTCTTGAAGAATACACATTTAAAAAAATATGAAGGCATAGAAAATGTAAAAAAGAGATATTTTCCACCTTTCGATTTTTTAGGGTTGTATCTACTCCTTGAATTCCAACTCAAAAGTAAATATTTTATTCCATTAAATTTTCTCATCTTCAGCGATGATAGTAACGTTGAATCACTATTATCACCACTCTAATAAAATTTATGACATTCATCAGATTAATAAAATATAGCAACTGAACTGAAATGGAAATATACTATAATTTGTGTTAAAAATAGCTAAGTTATTTTTAATAATATATGAGGCATGTTCAATTCATTCAATTGTAGTTCTACTTATATTTATTATATTTCTATATCCATTTTTAATTAATTTTGTCTTTGATCACATAATTAGAAAAAAGACTCGTCAGGAAGAAGAACTTAGCAAGAATCAATTAAGGAAATCAATAATCTATTTTTTCCCCAATTCCTGAGTCACAATAGTGGCAATTTCATCATCAAAGATTACACGAATTAAGTACTGAGATAGATAGCAATTCAATTCGACAATCTACATATGATGTTGAATATTGTTTCATGTCTTGTTGTGATAAGCTTTGACTTTGTCTTTTTGATTAAACAATAAGAGAACTTTATACAAATTTATTATCAAAGAGGCCAAAGCTCCATCCAAAATCTTTATTTTTAGGAGCCTAGCCATAATTTTAAATTTTAGGCCTGAGCCTGTCCTGTCCCAAATTTAATTGAAAAATATAACTAAACGCATATTTAAACAATCAATTAATATAAAAATTTAATTCCTTTACCCTAATCTTTAGAGAAATCTATTTTATTGCTTAGAATCTTTTTTTATATTTTTTGAGTAAAAAAAATCAAAAGCCTTAACCCTGTTTTTAAAAAAAATAGACCCAAGCCCGACTTTAACTTAATTTCCAGGTTCAACTAAGTCTGTTCAAAGGCCGATAAATATAAAATTGTAGTTTTCATCAAACTCCATTTCCGATATCGCAACTGATGTAATTGATTTAAGATAATGCATTCGCGACAATGAATTCGCGATAATACATTTGCCATAATGCATTCGCGCTAATACATTCGCTATAATACATTCGCGATAATATCTTATATAGAAACCTTCAATTGACGGTTTTGGTTTTTTAGGTAGGACAAAATTATGGTGCTTCTATTAAATCAAAAATATTGGTTTCTCTATAAATATGTGGAACCCCAAATAGAGATCGGCACTTTTCGACACTCAATATATTAAAGCCATCGCATACATCTAAATGTGTATTATTAGAGATTAATGAATTCTTAGTTATCTATATTAAAAAGATTTATGAATAAAATTTGTATAATTAAATAGAAAAAAAATTATATTTAGAAACGTGTTCTTAAAACGCAGAACGAACGGGAATGTGACATATTTTTTACTCAAACAACTGGTTAAAACCTTTTCTTAATTAAAATTAGAATCAAGATTTTCGTCAGTCATATTATATCCATAAGGGTAAAGTTAAGAACCCTTCTATAGGCTAATTTAGGTAGCTGACATATAGATGCAATATATATAAATTTTAAGAATGGTTGGTTCAGTTTAGATTCTCTTTAATAACGGTTAATACATATTTAACAAATCGTTTCAGGTTTGGTTTAGCTGAGTTTATAATCAAGCTAAACCTTGATATGAACTAAAAAGATTTTACAAAAAAACCATTGTTGAAACAAATAAAGTCATCGAAAAAATACAACAAATAAACTGAATTGTATTATTAATCAAATCCCGTATAAATTCTTTGAATTCTATAATTGTCCCATATAATATTTCTCTAGAAAATCAAGATCTAGAAAATAATTCCCTACAAAATAATTCTCTACAATATAATTCTCTACAATATAATTCTCTACAAAATAATTCTCTACAATATAATTCTCTACAAAATAATTCTCTACAATGTAATTCTCTACAAAATAATTCTCTATAAAAGTAATTCTCTTTAAAATCATTTATAAACAACATTCTCTATAAAATCATTCTCTATTAAGGACCTTCTCTATAAAATAATTCTCTTTAAAATCATTCTCTATAATCGACATTCTCTATAAAACCATTCTCTATAAACGGCATTCTCTATAAAATCATTCTCTATAAATTAATTCTCTATAAAAATTATTCTCTATATAAAACATTCTCTATAAAACATTCTCTATAAACTACATTCTCTATAAAACAATTCTCTGTAAATGCATTCTCTATAATTGTTTTCTCTATAAATGTTTCTCTATAAAATACATTCTCTATAATGGTTTCTCTATAAAGACGTGGAACCCTTAATTAGTAGCATTAAAATTTATTTTTTTAAAATAATAACGGCTGTGCAAATATTTTTGTGTTTGGGAACTTAGTTACATTTTAAAAAAAAATTAATAATATAATAAGGTCAATATCCAAAATTTCATTAAAAAATTATCTATAAAAACTTTTAAAAGAAGACTTCCAGTTAGTTTTATTATCTTTATTCATAAATAATGGCCCAAATTGGATAGACGTAGATACAAAGCTTTTAAATTTTATCTAGCAGCAATTAATAGTTGTGCAATCCTCAGATTTAAATATGACCTTATAACTAGACCAATCATTTTCTTAGATGAAGATAATAATTTCTTCTACTATATTATTTCAAATATATAATTCATTTTATTTTATCGGGATTAGATGCAACATGTAGACATGGGATTACCTTTTTTGGCAAACAATTGGTTATTTTTTCTAATCATTTTTACTATCTATTTAACATGCAAGTTTGTTTATAAACATAAAAGTTTATTGGGAAATTTAAAAACATACTTTAACAAATCTACTCCTTTATTAAACTCTAATGATGGTGATCATAGTCACTCATTTAATTCTCAGGAAACGATGCCACACATAAATTATATTCATCACATACCGTTCTTAATAAATATTAGTAAGAACCATAATTATTCAAAATCTTTATTATTAGAAACGGCCATTACGAGATCTAAGGACTACTTCAATCTTATGAATTCTAGGAGAAGCATTCGTTTTTTCAGCTCCAAACCTGTTCCTCCTCTTGAAGTGATGGAAAATATCATTAAAACAGCTGGAACATCCCCTAGTGGTGCTCATTGCCAACCGTGGACATTTGTCTTAATTTCCAATCCTCGTATAAAAAAAGAAGTAAGGAATATAGTTGAAATGGAAGAAGAGATAAATTACAAAAAAAGAATGGGAGAAAAATGGGTAGAAGATCTCAAATTTGCCAGAACTAATTGGATCAAGGAGTACTTGGAAACGGCTCCATATTTAATTATTGTATTCAAGCAAGTTTACGGATACCAAAATAATAACGAGGGTATGGTTGAAAAAACTCCTTTTTATTATCAAGAAATGAGCGTCTGTATAGCCTGCGGTATACTCATATCGGCTATTCATAATGCAGGAATGGTAACCTTAACGAGTACACCCCTAAATTCTAATAACAAACTTAAACGATTGTTAAATCGACCGGATAACGAAAAGGCGATTTTAATATTACCTGTGGGTTACCCAGCAAAAGATGCGACTGTTCCAAATATCAAAAGAAAAAAATTATCCGATATCATGGTTCATATCGATTAACTCATACAAATTTAACTTAAAAATGTATAAAATTAAATTTATAAATGCTAATTTTCAAAAACGAATAGAATAATTATTCGAACGGAATAATTCTTTTTTATACAAATATTATACTTTTATTAAATTGTGCTATAAGATGCAAAATAAAATCATGAATCTATCAAATACAAAATTTAATTCATTATTTATTTGGTACACATAAGTTTATAACTATTTAAATTTTTGAAATTTAATATTTTTTTTAAAATATATTAAAGTTTTAATTTTTTAATATAAATTCTTTAGCTAATATAAAAAAGTCACAAAATAAATTGATTAAAAAATATATAAATATGTTTTGATTCGTTTTAAGGTCTGAGATATTCAAGGAATTTCACTATAATGTGTATTTTCCAATAAAATTCAAAAAAAGGCGAGAAATGTTTTTTAATAAAGCGTCAAACTGACCAAGACTAAGGAAAGATTTATAGCATAGAGACCTGCAGACCGGGGTACACGGGTCTGGCCGTAATTTTTTTTGATAAACCTGGGCTGAGCAAATAAATTTTTTTAATATCTGGGCCGAAAAATTATTTCTTTTTATAAATCTAGGCGGACTGAATATTTAAAATAGCGATTATTATTAAATATAATAGATGAGATAAAATATAATTAAAAATTGTATGATTAATGATATATCACATGAATTCACTTACCATATTTCCTATATCATTAACCATCTTATAAAAAATTTTATACACCTATGCCGGGCCGTGCCTTTGGTATTTCTGCCGGTCTCTGATTTATAGTTAAAATAAAGAATATAATATTCGTTTGTAATAATATGTCATATCCAAGATTTTCGCAAGGGTGAGACTTTTGCGTAACTTTTTTCCTCGTATATTTAATTGGATAGATCGATCAAGGCCTTCTCCTTGAAGGCGTTTGGTGATATTACATTTTTAAATAAAATTTACTTGGTGCTATTGTCGCTTCATCTTTAATTATTTTTTTCTGATTCTGGAAGGCTAGAATAAGCTTATTGCATGATATAAGACTCTCTTAAACTTCTTTATTCTTCTCTTTTTTAAAAAAAAATCTTTTCAATCCTTTACTCTAGCCGAAAACTTTTATCTTAAAAATACTTTTATTTTTTAACCTCAGCGCCATACTCATATATTATATAATATATTTTGTCAGCTTTATAACATTCCGTCTAATTTATTATTTAGCTTTTTATCCAATAGCTTTTATTTATTTCTAACATCTCGTAGATTATGACATAGTGAAATTACTTTGCTCCTCCTCTCCTTCTTTTTATAATAATACCCACTTCCTGGGAACTTTTGAAGCGTTTTGCAAATGTTCACTAAGTTTGTATTATGCGGATATGGACATGTATAAAATCTTTTTCTGGCATTGGATTAGTTCGTTATTATGCTATTTATTTTAGGGTTAAAGTTTACTCCAATAACATCCTTATGCTTTAATGGGGAAGTTATAGAAAATAGTGAGCTTATATTTATTACATGTATCCATGTCTATATCCCCGAGGAGTAGTGGGGAAAGCCTGTAATTTATATTCCAGGCCTCCAAGTAGTCGCAGTCTCATAGTCATCGATTGTGTCTTAAATATAGGTACAAAGGTTGGCAATGTGGATATCTTTAGCGATTCTGGTGTAAAAATTCCTTAGGATAATCGTGATGTTGATAGATATTAAAGGTGCACGTAAGGAAAACTGCATGGTATGCATTCATTTCACTGTGCCCCTGTTGTAGTGCATGTGTGATTATTCTCACTATCATTCCTGGATTCCCATCTCATAAGTTTAATTTTTATTTGAAAAAATATGCATTTCGATGAAAGGGTTAATCTGGGCAGAGGAAAATAGAACTAGTCAGACAGTATAAAAAATGGCTGAGGCCTTGCCAACGATCCTCTTAGACATTATGTGTATTTTATTTTCTAAGTAATTTTTAATTTATTGATGTAATTTAAAATATATAAAGCAGAGGTAAGTGGAAATTGTGAATTATCTTACAGCTGTCCATCTTACTTATGTTAGTGAATGTTGTAGTAGATTAAACAACTTACGATCACTAGCTCTCAAGCATCATCTATCTCAGTTGCATTCAGTTCCCATTAAAGCAAAGGGAGTTCAAGATTATTTGATATATGGTGAATTCCATATCAAATCAACCAAGGTTTCAACCCGACCCCTTTCAATTTTTCTTAAATTTTGTATACTGGTATTATATACTATAACTAAGAAAAAAATGAAATTTTACCTTCCAACAATGTTTACCCGCTAAGATATGGCAGTTTCAAGCGCTGAAAAATGATTCATTTTTGAAAAAATGCACCTCATTTATTTTCAAATATCTCGAGAAATAATTAAGTTAGAAATATAATTTAAATTTTATTTTGTAGCTTAATAAAAGTTCTTTAAAATGATATAAAAATAAATATGATAGACATTTGATTAATATCGAAAACCGGATGTGTAAAACTCTGTAGATAGATATCACATTGCTTTATATTTGTACAAAATCCTAGACTGGGATGAACATGGGTTTAGGAGTTATCACTCTTTATATGGCTAAAGTTGAACAAATTTAACATTAATATCATCATATTTTATTTTAATGTTAATTTAAAAATTATGTCTAAATGATAGGCCCTTACTTTTTTTTATCTTTATCAAAATTTTTGAAAAGTGGCTGGAATAATGAGCTTTGTTTAACACTTTAGTTAAATTTTGTCTCGAAGTTACTTGACAAAATAATTCTAAACATATTTATAACTTTATTTGCCTCAAATTGCATTATATATAATACAACCAAAAATTTATAATTAAAATATATCATATATTATAATCATCCAAGGAATTTTAATAAATTATGACTTTTGTTTTCGTCTAGGGGAATAAAAGCTTAGAATTTTGTGTTCCAGAAATTATCTTTTCGCTCAAAAATCTGCTTTCAAGATGACTTTCTATGTTCATATATTCATTATTGCTCACAAATATATAATTCACCTAGACCTGTGAGCCGGCCGGCCATTTGGTTACGCCGAAAATGCCGCCGTTTAAGAAAATCACGCCGGCGCGCAGCCGATTTTCATATCGGCGGGGCACGGCCAGCGCAGAAATCTTTCATATTTCATACCTTTTTATTCTAATAATTGGTTAACATCACTGTTGTAATATTTTTAATGTCGATCAGGATTTTGATGAATTTTTATTTTCTACTATTTTAAAATCATAATTATATTGACGTCATTATAGAATTCAATCAATCAAAAATCTAAAATTCCAAAAGTTAGCATAATTTTACATATTTTTAAAATGGATGTATTTACATTTAATAATTCTATAAATAATTGTAGTATCCTAACTCTGGATAATAAAAAATCCATAAAAAAAATGTTTAAGTACAATAGATTTAACATCAGACATGTTAGATCTTGACAGCATTGATCCATACCCGGATACCTGTTTTCAAATTGGCAATTCCAAAGATAATAATAACAATAATTCCATGCATATGAAAACCTTAAAATTAAATGTCCCAACACGTTGGCATAGTATATTAATTATGCTAGAAAGCATATCTGGATTAATTAAGAATTTAATTAATAATGTTTTGTAAGAATTGTGAAGCACTTTATCAAATTATGAATCTGAGCTGGTAGAAGATCTATTAGCATTTCTTTCAAAATTTAAAGAAACTGTCGAATTTTTTTCAGTACAAAAAGGGCCTACTTTAAACTTGGCGTTACTTTTTAGAAGTGAAATTGAAACAAATTTAATAGTAAATGGTAGTGATAGTTCTGAAATTATTTCACGGAAAATATGCTAAAAAACTTGTGTTACGATTTTCGGTGTGTAATCTGCAAGTAATAATATATAAGTATATTCTTTTATTTTTTATTTAAAATTATCTAGGTATTGGCTTTTCTTTTAGATCCAAGATTTCAAAAATTGACAATTGTGTCAAAGTATTTAATAGAGCAAAATTGTTCAGCTTCAGAATTTATAATAAAACATCTTAAACTTATAGAGAATGATGATAATCAGGTAGTAAATATAGCTAATGAGGATCAAGAAGAATTATTAAATTTAAGTTATTTGACAAAATTGGCAAATAAACATTCAACAAATATAAATTATTATTCCAAGTTAGGTGACTTAGAACAAGAATGCCACAGTTTTCTTGGAAAACGATATTCACAAGATATGGACGTTCTAAATTTTGAGAGAAAAGAAGAATAAACTTCCCAATCTTTCCAGGCTCGCAAAAAAATTCTTTGCATTCAGGTGACTAGCACACCTAGTGAAAGAGTTTTCTCTACCGCTGGATTGACGTTAAATTCAAGGGGATCATTATTATCCCAAAAATTTAAATAAAATAATTTTTATACATGATAATTATAAAATTACGAAATCGATTTTTGGTTTATAATGAGTTTTCTATTAAATAAATATTAAAAATATGCCGAGATATGTGTTGAGTAGTGTATATTCGTTTTTTAAAAAATAATAAGCAATTAAAAAAATTTATGTTATAAAAATTTATAACTGCACCGATTTTGTTGACTGCGGCTAAAAATCGGCGCGCCGCCGGCCGTCGACAGGATTTTTGAAAATTTCGCCGGCCGCCGATAGTTTCGTCAGCGCACAGGTCTAAATTTACCCCATAGATATTATTTCTTGCATAGTTAAATATATCTATTGTTGTCAATATGTGATGTTCATATGGACGTTACAAGCTTGCTCGAGCTGCTAACCGTTTAGTACGGCCCCCAAAATGACGTATGGACTTTTATCTCGTGCGGTTTCAAAAAATGTCACTCAGCCTTTATCCCAAAATCATTTTCATGATTGTAGAAATTAATGAAATCTTTTATTTTATATTGGTTACTGCTCCATCAGAAAAATAATAAATTTTAGCCACTCTATTAAATCTTTCCTTCAAGAATACAATCAATTTTTAAAATAAATAAAATGCACATGCGTGTGCTTTAAACAATCTGATATAACCACTAAATATACATGTTTTATTATGTTGTTCTCACGGTAATAAATTATAAGATTTGATAGTGGCTTGATTATTGGTCTGATTAAATTCTTGTGCATGGTTCTGCACTACAAATGCATAGTTTTCTGAAAAGTCTGCAATAACTTAGAATTCGCCAACATTTAAATTGAATTAAGTTTCGAATTAATGATTCTCGTGAAGCTATAAACAAATGAGGAATTAAATTGTTTTATTCAATAAAATAATAATTCGTCAGCGGATTTTGTCAGTGTTTCGAGGGTAGTTTGATCAACTGCTATCCATTGTTTGAATGTTTAATAATCAATAGAATTCTCGTCAAATAATATATTAAGCCTTTCTTTTAATTTTGAATATATGGAGGAAAATTTATTGTTGAATTTCAATTTTGGTAGATTATTTTATGCTAAATAAAATATTTAAAATTATTTTGTCAAGTAATTTTAATTTCGAGATAAAATTTAACTAAAGCTTTAAACAGCTCAGTATCCCAGCCACCTCTCAAATTTTTTTTATAAAGATAAAAAAAAGTAAGGGCTTATCATTTAGACATAATTTTTAAATTAACATTAAAATAAAATATGATGATATTAATGTTAAATTTGTTCAATTTTAGCCATATAAAGAGAGATAACTCTTAAGTCTAGGATTTTGTACAAATATAAAGCAATGTGATATCTATCTACAGAAAAAAATACCTTTTTTTTCTATGGCTATTTCCGGTTTTCGATATTAATAAAATGTCCATCATATTTATTTTTATGTCAATTTATTAAGCTACGAAATAAAATTTAAATTATTTTTCTAACATAATTATTTATCGAGATATTTGAAAATCAATGAGGTGCATTTTATCAAAAATTTACCATTTTTCCGCGCTTTAAACAGCCATATCTTAGCGAGTAAAGAGTGTTGGAAGGTAAATTTCATTTTTTTCTTAGTTATAGTATATACTACCAGTCAAAATTTAAGAAAAATTGAAGGGGGTCGGGTTGAAAATCGACTATTTTTGTTGATTTGATATGGAATTCACCATATACTTTATATGAATTTTAATAAAATTATTAATTCTTACCTAGTAAAGGTATTTTGGGAATTGAGTCAAAAAATATTAAATTTTAAAATAAAAGGAGAACCTACCCTTATTCCTTAGTTGTTGAAATGACTGATTAGTTACTTCCTTGGGCAATATCATAGAACTAAACCGAACCGTTAAGCCGATATTTAACTGTTTTATTTAACAACCTAAGCCGTTACAAATTTTGTCATAAGAATCTGAACTTCTAGAAAATGTGTGAGTCATTCGAACCTTATAGGTCTGTCCGGCTTTAATCTTTTGAAATCCTAACGATTTAAAGAGTCATCAATGTATTTTGAGTGATAATAGGTGTCAGTCGCCATTTTTAGATATTTTTATATTAATATTTGACGTTGCCATCTACACAGGCTAGTGCGTGTAAATTAAATAGCTTGACATGATTGATTTTAAATTGACAATATAACCTATTTTATACTAAATCGTTAATTTATTTACAGGTTATGAAATTTAGTCTACTGAAACTTAGCATGTAAAATCATAAAAATGTTAAAAAATGTTGAAATAGAATATAGTACTAATATTAAAAATGATTCTTTATTTTAGTTAATAAATATAAATTTAATTATTAATATGCATACATTTGATTCCATTTTAAATCCATAAATAATAGTCCCAAATAAATAATTGATCATATATAAATTATTAAATTATATATACTAAATTTGTTTCATGAATTTAATATAATGGATATGTTATAAAAACCAAATTCACCAAAATAAATATAAAAATACGTCATATAAAAGTATTTGGTTCAAAATATATTAATATAATTATAAATTATATTTTAAAAAACGTCTTAAGTGAAATTATAAAATATGGTGTTATGTGTATTATTGTTTTATATAATAAATCGTAAGAGAAATTAAATTGTCTTATCAATTTTATAGTGTTTGTATTGAGTAATTTTTTAATGATATCATTAGGAAATTTACTTTAAAAAAAATAACCAAGTTTAATTTCACATAATAAATAGCGACAAAGAAATATAAAATATTTAACTAATGAAAAACACTGGTAAAAAAAAATTATCTGTCTGACTATCAACACAAATATACATTAAATAGCATATAAGTAAAAGGTAATTACAAATTATAAAATCGTTTTTCAAAAATAGCTCTAAACAAATATTCGGTATTTTTCATATTAATATTAAAAAAGATTAAATAAATAATGTGCTAAATAATCGTTCGCCATAATAGAATGCTTCAATAAAAGATATATAGACCATTTTTCAAAAAAAATGCTGATACTCTAGTAAATTTCAAGTCAGAAATATCTATTCCACCGACTATATCTACAGGACCCTCACTTTCAATGATCCATACTATTAGCTACGATATCAAGGCCTCTCAAATTATTTGGCATTTCGGTAAATTGAGAAGACAAAATAGAAATATTGTGGTCACCATTAAGATTCATTTCCGAATTTAGAGAATCAGAATCGTAATGGTATATCTGTTCTTCGTTAAATTCCTCACCTGCTACAAAATTTGTTTTGTCGATAAAATATTCTTGATTAATGTCTTCGTGCTAAAAAATGAATATTTGTAATATAAAATAAAGGATAATATGGGATAATAAATTATCCCTTCTCAGGACGCTTAATTTTAACAACTCAAGCAATGAATGAATGGCTTGATTCCAACCCTTAATTTTAAACAACTTTTTTTGTTATGCACTAAGTTTGTGCCTGATCATACCATTTTTAAACCTATATGCAACAAATGCAATCATGATGCAGACTGTTTTTGAACGCCATGCACTCAATTGTAAATTCATAACTAAAATTAATCGACAATAAAATTAAAACACTTGCCACATTTCTCAATAAAGCAAATTTCCCGTGCATTCTTGAACCCATGTTCAGCATAAATAAAAAAAAAACCCCTGAAGGAAAACTAGAGTCTCCTTTGTACCTGACAAACCCTTGGTCTGGGATTTTAATTGCATAAATCCCCTTGCCCCTTCTAATAATGTGCATGACCTTCATCTCAGGGCTGAGTCATTAAAATGCCAAAAATATTCTTACCACTTGTGAAGGTCTTTTCTTACTTGGAACTAATTCTCTATCAAAAAATCACATGTTTTATAAAGATAAAAATCATATTTCATTTCCTTAAAATTGGGCTGATTTGCCCTAGACAAAAGGTGTGAATTGTATAAGCGCCTAATAGTAATATATTTTCCCCAATTAATTCTTGCGAATATAATTATTATAAATAAATTGCATATTGAAAAAAAAAATATAAAAATTTCTCTTTAAAAAAAATGGCAGTGGGATAAATATTTTAGATGATGTCCCCATATTAGTAAAAGCCGTTAAGCAGGGTGCAGGAATATGCCATGCGGGCTCTAATTATGTATCAAAAGATAACTATCAAATCTTCTTCCTTTCATAAATATATTAAATCGTATTACTACACTCCCGATAGACAAATTTTGATCGTTAATGTTGCCATGGTCATCAGAAATGATAACCTCGTGAGAATAATCGACTCCCTCCATCATAGTACAATCGTTGACTATTCCCTCCAAATTATAATCCATTTCAGATTTTTTTGATTTTCCTAAATCTGGTCCAGATCTCATGAGATTGGCAATTTTGTTCAGCACAGACGAATCGTGAGAAAGTAAATTAAATCCTTCGTCTTAATGGTATTCATTTAAAAAAAAATATATGACTTAATTTCAGACAAAATAAGGATAAATCTTATAGATTTAAACCAATTTTTAAATTCGATTCAGCCCAATTATTCATTTTTTTAGATATATTTAAAAAAAAAAAATTGGTACCATTTTGCATTATAAGTTTAAGTAATATTATTTCGTTTCGCACTACCACTTTTTTGTAATATTATTTCGTTTCGCACTACCACTTTTTTTTCGCCAATATCGATATATCTACACCACCTATACTTATAAAAATAAACAATGTTTACCAATAAGAAGTGGTTTACCTTGCATCATGTCTTCTACTAAAAACCATTTATGGACTATTCCATGTCAGAGGTCATATATGTTTTAGATATACTAAATTTTAGTGAATTAGCCATTACCTGAAATAATGGGGAATTGAGGTACAATTTACTCTTTCCCAATTTTAAATAATTAGTTTTTAATTAAAAAATTAAATTCGTTCGAATATTAAATCTAATCTTAATAACTAAAACTATAGGTGATAATTATGAGGACAACATAAAATATAATATTTTTCAAATGTGCGTCATTTAGGCCAGCAGAAAATTTAAAATTAATATAATGAATATGAAATCCATTTTTCCCCTTCTATTATTCATTTACCATTTTTCCAATAATTAGCGGGTGCTTATTTCCTCAAAAAATATCGTGAAGTATAAAAAACGTACAGATTGCACTATATATGAACGCAATGCAGTATAAGGCTTTTTTTATTGTTTAGAAACATTTTAAGGCATTATAATTGATTTATGAGTAATTATTACTTTTAAATCAATATTGCTTTAAGATAGAAAAATAAACAAAGACTTATTGCATTAAAACGTTCATATATAGCGTTATCTATACGTTTTTTATACATTGGCGATATTTTTTTAAATAATTATCTAATAATAAAAACGAATGGAAAAAAAAATTGAAAATTGAAACTCATATTCACTTCAAAATATTCATTTTAAATTTCTTACGGCCATATAAGATTAGCTTCTATTTAAAAAATAATAATTTTAATGATTACCTCATAATTAAATTTAAATTCAATATCCAAGCCTTTTATAAGCCAATTATTTAACATATGAAAAGAATTAAAACCCCGATTTTTGTACCTTTAATCCCCGTTTTTAATAAATTAGAATGTAAATGACGCGTCTCCAATCGAAATTGATAGAAGTCGAGACAAGAAAATGTTATGCTCGCCTTGATATTTTGCCAAATGATGTCAGAATTACCCTCTTTTAGCAAAATCTCGACTTGGCTATAATCTTTTTTAGTTTTTTTAAATCGACTAAAAGATTAAAATAACACTACTTCCGATATCATACTTGCTCGAAATTTTTGAATTCAGATAAATATTTATAGCAAGATTTATCAGCGAGAATATCATGTTCGTAAATTTTAAAAATATTAATCATCTGAAAAAAAACAAGTCGACACTTGCAGTTTCGGTAAGCGTCGGTAGTCACTTCCTATTTAAACAGATACAAGTGGCCAATACTCGAAAAAGATAAGAAACTCTTATAAATTATCTTAAAAAATTTTTTCGCCTACAATAGGAAAAAAGGAGGTGATGTTAAATTTTATTTCTCTCTATTTCTTTTTATTTTTCCCTATTTCAACTCTTATAAATTAATTACAAATTAAAAAATTGATGAATTATATTTGCTTTATCTTTTTTTCTAAAATAAATAAATAAATATAATAAAATAATTTTTTTGGTATCGATATTCAGGTATAGATGATAACGGTACCAAAAAAAGTGGTATTGGTGCATCTTCGAGAAAAAGATATATTGATGGTTGGCGAAAAAAAGTCGTCTCCTTGTTAATAATGTTAATTAAATTTTATTTAAAAAATGGCGTATTTTTTTTAAAAAATTTTAACATATTGATATATTAAAATTTGGGAAAGTACTGAAAGTTTTCAAATTTTTTTAAAATGGTTTTTTAGACACATCCTAATAAAAATTTTCAAATGAGGGCAGAATTAAGATAAAAATAGTAGAAATAAATAAAATTAAAAACCTTTCTTAGACGATGTTAATCGTCCCATAAAATCAGAAAAAGCCTTGGAGAGTGGAACGCTCTCATCTTCAACTACTTCATTGGTACTCGAGTCTGACATAGACTGAGTCGTTGGTATAAAATATTTGTAATTATTGTCGCAGCTTTCCCAATGCAACACTCTAGATTGTTCTATTTGTTATAGTGTTGTAAAATAATAATTTCGCGTATAATTTTTTTAAAGTAATGACATCTAGTTAACATTACCAAAAGTAAAGATTTAATATAGTCATTTATTTTATAGTATTCATTTCAAACAACATTATTTATTTTTAAATTAAGGGAAAAAAATTACGATTAATGGTCTGATATTGTTGATTATTTGTGTCGACTCCTGCCTCATTGTTTTCCGTTTCCTTGAGTGGAAATATATTAAGACCAGCAGCTACTAAAAAGCTAAATAGAATAACCTTTTGTGTTATATTAAAAAATGATAATTAAGAAAAAATTGAATATTGCAATTATAAAGACCTTTTAATATTTATCATATTATTAATTCAGTGATTTTAGTGTATTTTAAAATAAATAAATCTAAATTTATTATTTTTTAAAAATAAAAATGTACTACAAGGCGATATGATTATTTAATATATTTTTTCTTATATAAAAGATCACATTTATTAGAATGAAATTCATAAATAATTTAAAAATAAGTTGAAGATAGCATGCCCACTGAACAGGATTTACAGATCCGGAGTTGGGTTAATGCCCTGATAAATACTATGCTTTATTTTAGCGCTCTGCCTTGAGAAACGTTATCAAGCGAATTATATTGCATAGTTATTTATCACTTTATGTCCAAAACTGATTTACTCTACATCTAAATACAATATTGTTTACCCAAAATAAATCAGTTGGTGGACGTAACATTATAAAAAAAAATTACGAAGCAGGAACTAGGATTGGTCTGAGTAGAAACGGATTTGTAAAGCGAAGTCGCCAGATTGGTCAATTTTTTTAACTGACTTTGTAAAGATCTAAATTTTAAAAAATAAAAATAAAAGTTTCGAGTTTATTTTAAAAAATATTATAAAAATTAAGTTATTTACAAGTTATTGGTTTCTAAATTTTTGACTTTGTTTTTGAGTATGTTATTATCGGTCGCATATGCTTGTACTCTAAATATATTTTTTTTTAAATTTAATAAAATTTAAGTAAAAAGTTTCAAATTTTTATTATATAATGGTCAAAAAATACATGTGTTAATGTTACTTGTTTTCCAATGCTTCAATATATTCCTTTTTTTTTCGTCTACTCTCTTGAGCTGATATCTAATAAAGTAAAGTAAGCTTATTGACTACTATATTTATCATGATAAAGCTACGACACTTAAACGGGTAGTCCCTTGGAACATTAAGAATATTGTCATTCATTTATATATAAAAAATGGAATTAATGTGAGAAAAATCCAAAACGATACTATAATAAGGTTTAGAGATTACCGGACATTGTATATCCTTAAGAATGAAGTTTAAATGAGTAGTTCTTATCCAGATTTAAATTCGTTGCGCATATATTTCTTAATTACCAAAATGAAATAACTATATATTGTCAATATACTATATATTTGCATGGCCCAGCCTACAAAAAAAATAAAATGGGTTACGTGGTTAACTAGTACAAACTATTTTTTTGTAATAGGCTGAGTTCAGCAGTTACAAATTACTTGATGATTAGATTTTAAATTTATTTCTATTTTTTTATTGCAAATTTAAATGGGATGGTCAACAGGCTAATATTTTGATTAACAACCGAATTAGTATAAAAAAAATTTTTAACGAGATGGGGAATTCATAGTAAATTTATGGGCCTTGTAGACCTTCTAATTTCATTAAATATTTAAGCACCTCATTTATCCACTATAATCAATTTTTCGAAGTTGAGATAAATAGATGGATTTTATGGGACTAATTCTATCAAATATATTAAAAATATTTATGTTTTAAAAAAAAGTAAAACATTAACTTTAAATATAAAATTTTGTTTTATATTTTATTAAATTACTTTCAAAATCAAAACCTTTGTGATTAATTTTTTCATTATTAACTTACATTTTAGATATATGAGAGTTAATTTAGTTTATTAAGTAAATTATATAAGATCCGGTATTCGACTTGGCCAAATACTGGCAAAAAAATTAGATTTGGCCTGATATTACTGAAAAACCTGTAATATTTTTAATTTTTTATGGAAATAAAAAACACCTAAGTAGATATTTAAAGTCAGGGGAAAACTTTGTTTTTAATCTTTCTCCTAATCTTCTTAAGCGATTTTTCTTCCATTTTCGTAAGCGGATATCGTTTTGGCACCGGGTAGCCTTCGGCTATAAGAGTTCTTTTTTCCTCTTCCGTTAGCAGTAATGGGCCGGTCACAATGTTCCCATTTATTTTGGGCTTAGGGAATATAATCGGAAATAAAAATAATGTATTATAATCGTAGCTTAAACCCCGAACATAAACAAATCTAGAATCCACCCTCTTATAAAATATATAGGCATTTTAAAATTTCCAGGTTAATCGATTCCAACAAAAGTTCAAGTTATTTATATATGGTTTAAAAATCTTTTAGAGACTTTATTTATTTGGTTATTTTTTGAATAATTAAACAATTTGAAACCGCAGCCAAAATTTTCAACTTTAATAAAAATATCGAGAAACCGCCCTTTTTAGTCTAGTTCAATGTGATTACAATGTAATTAACTACAAAACCCACTCTAGGTCTACAGCTAGAACCCATTCCCTTTAAACTTGACGACCTAATATTCTTTTAACTCAATCTGAATCTAGAATCAAGCTCGTACCCGGACGAAATAAAAGCGGATTCAATTTGGACTCTTCGTTTTTATAAAAAAATGAAGCTATTGTTATAGATTTTAAAAATTTCTTTTCAAAATTTTATTAAAAATAATAAAGCTAAATTTTATAATTAACAGATTCGATAAAGGGGGCTTCTAGTTGAAAACATTTATGTCACTAAAATATTTTACTCGTTATTCTTGACAGGAAATAAACTAGTATTTTTTTAAATAAATGCTATTAATGATTAAATAAACGGTTTCTATATGCAAGACTAAAAGTTTTAATCAAGATGGCTAATTTATGCTTAATTTACTACTAAAAAAAATTGTCTTCCAAAATTTTTTACCGTAGATTAGAATTTGCTAATCTAACTGGGTATGATTCTATATTAACGTAATTTTTTTAAAACACAGTCAAGTTATTCTGACTATTCTACAAGGGTGAAATTCAATAAATGATTTCATAAAAACCTGCTGAGATATATATCTGGACAATAAGATTTGATGATGTTCACGATCCGATAAAACGGAACGCCATTCGCTGACGTGTTGATTTTGTTGCGGATGTTTCATAATGTGGCCACCGAGCTCCAAACCGGAATGTATAACAGAGGAATAAATATCTCTACTACTGTCGTCCATCATATCTTCGCAATCAGTGTTTATACTATCTTCTCCCGTGGAGCCAGGCTTAAAATTCACTTTGGTAAAATTTTCATTTATGAGGGCGAAATTGTGGAGTTTATCCCGATTTACGAAATCTGCGAGGACATCGCCCGCGATGCCATTTTCTTTCTCGGCTTTTATAATGACTGAACCGTTGGAATCATTGTTAGATATTTTTTTGAAACCTATTGTCTCGTTAGGTTTAAATTTTTTATTGTATATTGGTGAGTGGGGTTTGTTGAATACTAAGCCGGGATTTTTATCATTTTTGCTAGCTTTGTACAGTTTGTGAACAAAATCAGATCTGGTCAAAGTTAAGGTTTTGGGGATGTTGATTGGAATTTGATCGTTGTTAGACTTGGACGAGATAGGTGAGGAAGTGAAGGTCGTGGAATTAGAATTGAAATGAGGTGTATTGTTGGTGGTTAAAAAATCGTTGATGTTGAGGATGTTGTTATCTGAGAAAAGAAATTTGAAATGGTCTTAAAACTTAAAAGTAATAAATGATTTTTCAGAGTAAATTTTAATTAAATTTAATGGAAATTTAAATCATTTCTTAACATCCAAAAAAACGAATATTAAGCAAAATTCATATTAAATGAGTTGCAATTCTAAGCTTATGCAAAAAATGTGATCTGACCAAATATTTTAAAATTTTATAAGGTACATCGACATAATATAGAATAAGCATTAAACTAAACAATGTATATTCATAAATTCTATATCTTGTCTTCTCTACTATCATGGAAAGAAAATAAATGTTAAATTACAGTGTTGTGATGATTTAATAAAACATATTGACGATTAAATTAAAACCCATCCATATAAATTTATTTTCTTTGCAAAAATAATTTGAAAATTCTTTTATTACTCCTTTTGTTATTTTATAAATTTTTGCAAAGAAAATAATTGTATATGGAGTTTTAATTTAATCGTCAATATGTTTTATTAAATCATCACAACACTGTAAAACTCTGTTTCAGACTTATTTTGCTTAGGTCCATATAAGAAAATTATAGGCGCTCTAAAATAAAAAACTTTGGTTCCTTTTTCTTAAAAGGAATACTTATAGAGCTTAGGAGAACAAAATATTAAAAATTTTGCCACGGTCGTAAAAAAACTTTCAGATTCGCTCCTTGAATGAAAATTTTTTAAATAAATGTTCGGTCCGATCAAAATATCTGTTAAATCAAAGAGATTCATGCAGATAAACTATTACTAATCTAATGCAATCGTTATCACGAGATAAATTCAATTTATAATGATTAATATTTGGAGAAATAATTTTTGTTTACCGATAAATAAAATAATCACACATATATTGCACCATAATTTACCGAAATAATATAATCTATAATGTGTTCCAAACTTTATTGTTTAACTTCCTAATATCTTTCGTTCAACTTTCTTATTTAAATGCAAAATATACATTACAAAAAAAAAGGAAATTAGAGCATGCATTCCTCTATACTTAGGTTAATAATTTCCACAATTTTATAATATTTAAAATATTACACAATTAATTATCATGTAAAATTAAATAAGTGTGATAATTTCGCCCATTTTTGATGATTGATAGCGATAACCTTATTCTATTTAAGTTAAATTTTCAAAAATATAAATAACATATTAGAATTTATAAAATCGCCTCCCTCTCCCTCACACATAAAAAAGAATAAATAAATAAATACACTATCAGCCATGGTCGTAAATTTGAAATAAAATTGCACAATATCTCCCTTTAAAAAAAAATTAGCACAAATCTTTTAAGCCTCCGTCGAAAACTTATTTCAAAACTTTAAGGAAGCCTTACCCTGCATTCATAGTTTACGCGAATACCTGGCGAATTATACAAAATACTTTGTATTTTTGTATTCTCCGCTGGAATTTCGAGCTAACTGCGAGTGAGGTGTTACCCTGCATTTACAGTGAGCACAAATTCGCGGCAAAGTATACAAAATATTATATTTATATACTTCACCGCGAATTCACGCTCTGTGAATGCAGTATAATGTTTAGTTTTGAAAATCCACAAACTAAGACCGAATGTTTTAACTAATTTAAAAAGACTATATTTGGCGTTTTCTAGATAAAGTTTTGAAAGATTTCGAATAAAATTTTTTGATGTTTTGTAAAGCCTATATAAAAACAAAATTTTTAAAAATATACCCAATTCCTATTATAAAGTATAAACATTTAATTATAAAAAAGAAACATTTGATTTTGGCTTCACAAGATATATTTTAATCTGAAAACTGTTTTTAATATTTAAAAGAGTGATCAAAAGGCATGCGGGTAATCCAACACTAATCATCTCATATTACCTAAAATATCAGTTCTAGCTAAACCTAAGGGTTATAAAGCAAAAAGTTTTGAATTTCAAAAAAAAATACAAATAAAAAAATAAAAGAAAAATCAGTCAAATTCGCTAAAATTTAAATTTTATACCTAGATTGCTTAAAAAAATTAGTTTCCTAAAATATACAATTTTAGGGGTAATAAAATAAAAATTAATCTAATAATTTCAATATTTTTGATTTTGTAATATAATTACTTACAAATATTTGAATGATCTACCATACGATGTTTCAATTAGTAATTGATATAACATTTAAATTTATTTTAAAAAATGTCTGCCGCGGTCCAGGTTTGTGATTACAATTTTAGGCATGACCCAAGTTTTATCTATTTTACACCTAGTTTATTCAATTTTTTCAGCTAATAATCTCACTTATTTAAAATAATTTAAATACAAAAACTCACATTCAAATAATTTTAAAAAATTTAATAGAAAACAATTTTAATCTCATAACGCGATAAGATATTCTTGATTAAATCTTTTACATATTGCAGTGTTTAACTCTTGAGCGGTAGGTTAATGTTAAAACTCTCTGTTATCAAAATAGCAATTTTAAAAAAAAACGAAATTTTATTAAAATGCAATAAGGCCCATTTTTAAAATAAAGAAATTATGCGATCGCTGTCGATCTGCTCTGCTATATATCATACCCTGTAAGGGAAACTATCTCGGTTAGCTTCAGAAAAAACCGGCCCTTCCTGGATTCAAGCCTAGATGAAAATATAAAGTGATTACTCAATCAACGCCTATGATAATACTCGAAAAGGATTTTATTCATATTATATTCTAACCATAAGTGGTAATATAGATTCAAACAATAAAAATGTTTAAAAAAACCCTTTTGTCCGATCCCACCAAGCGATGAGTTTAAGCACTAAACTGGGTGTTAGGTGGAAAAAAAATAGTGCTAATGATTTGGTAGGTATAGCTCACCCCGATTTTAAATCTGTCAAATTCTTATATTAAGCTTCAATATTTTGATACTAATTAAGCTAATCTTAAATAATTAAAACATTATCAGCATTTTAAAATACCGAGAAAAAAAGCAAGCAAATTGTCTTATAAACTAAATTTCATATTTTTTTACTATAACAATAAAAACCTAATTAAAACAGGATAATATCAATAATTTGCATTTAATTAATAATCAATACATGTTTTCAAATAGTAATTACCAAAAAATATGAGTTATAAAACTTTGGATAAATAAGCATAGTTAGCATAAAATAGACTAATGAAATAAAGTTCTCAAAACATCGACAAGTTTAAAAATCTTTGTGGTATTACTCTGCCGTAGTATATTACACAAGGGGTAATAGAACTGTTTACACACGAAAAACATTAAAATCCAGAAATATTGTAATTACAAAGATATTATGTGGACATGCTAAAAGTAAAATGAAAACGAAAAAGGGATGTTTATAAGAGGGGAATTGTATTTGTTTATGTGAAATCCCTTTTTCCAATTTAAAAAAAAACTTTTCAATGACAACCGGCTATATATATAATATAATTTTAAAATAAATCAAATATTGTTGAAGATAAAATTTTAAAAACGATAGTAAGTTGTCCTTTATAGAAAAAAACGTGTCAAATATTGACATTAATGATAGAATAAACAAGCCCAAATCTAAAAATGAATATACTTACGTGTATTTATTTATATAACTATGTATTAATTATCAAACTAAACTCAAGGTAAATTTAACGTAATCAATATTAAAGGAAGTAGAAAATACAGGAAGTATAAAAAAAATAAAGGGTTCCCATCAGAGTAAAAGTAAAAATTTTATGTATTGAAGAAAAAAATTTTTAAACATTATTTCTTAATGTATCCTTCCATTCCTAGTCACTATATGACATTAGACAAGAATACTTAATAATATTAATAAATACACCGAATAAAAATGCCTCAATTTCATTTATTTTCCCAAAAGTATATTTATTAGATGCTTTAGATTCCTTAGGCATTTTAAGCGAGTATATTAAATTTTACACTATTAAATTTGTATCAATTAAATATTATACTGATTACAATGTAACACTAAGTAATGAGAACTATTTTGTTTTCGTCTATAAAGCAAGCGACAAATATGTTTTTTAAATCATATTTGTTTGACTCTAAAATATATAACCTAAAGCACGTTTTAAACCTGAATTATAACCTTATTTAACGTGAAAAGTGTGACAAATTATTCGTAAAAATTAGATATTTAAATAAATATAATTTTATCAACTTAGTTAGATATGGTATGATTTTTATTCAGACTCCTCCATGTTATGCTAGTTTACAGCTGGGCTATTTACATTTAGCGAGTTTTTATGATGTAAAAATTAAGAGGAGAGCCATTAATAAGAGGTAATGGGTATAGATAAAAGATATACCGAATTAAGACATGCCTCTATCTCATTATAAAGAGCTAGATAAAAGGACGGTCCATTATTGGTAATTAGTTTGACGGTTTGTTGACTTTTTTGTCAATGAAAAAAGGAGAGCGGGTGTGCTGAGAAGAAAATCAAGATCTTCAAATTTGATGAGGAGAGATGCTTATTGTCATGAATCGGGAAGGGGATAAGATAAGCTTCTAGGAATTTTGTTAATTTAAATTGCAATATTAAAGGAAACATGCTGGAGAAGAGGGAGGGAACATAACCGATATTTATTAATAAGATTGGTAAACAAACGATTGATGTTCTAAAAGGGTTTATAGTATTTTTGTATGATTAAAAACCATAGATACAAATCTCTCAAATGAAATTTTATAACACTCATTAGATAACCACTTGTTAGTATCGGTTATGAATGGTTCGAAGCCATGAGGTTCAAATCTCGGCCTATAACTAAAACTGTGCGTAGCCGGTAATTTTATTTACGCCGGAACCCCCACCGATTGAGATCATCAGCGCAAGTTGGCTCGCCGCTTTTTTCATAGCGGCGGCGAGGCGTGTATAATTTTTTGAATGCTGTTTATTATATTTATATATTAAATTAGAATATTAACATTTAAAATCAAAATATGATTTGTATTCTATTGCTATATATAATAGAATATTGTATATCATTTACATTCATTCCTACATCATATTCCCTTTCCACAA